GAAGGTTAAGTAAGCAGAATATGTCAGATACTATTTTTTCCCCACTGGAAAACCATGCACCAAAGTACTTCAGAACACCCCATCAGTGCTCTGATATCAGTGCTGTAAACAACTTCAACAGGATGCTGGCTGGTTGAAGTGGAAAAAGTAAAGGAAAGAAGAAAAGGATGAAAATAAAATGGAGGGCCTGGGATATTGTAACAGATCTTGTAAAGAAAGTTAGATAATGAAGCTTACATATTCCTTTTAAATACAGATATTTAGTTCTACATGGATAGCTTTCCATTAATAGCTAAGAACAGTGCAGCAATTGGATATGTGTTGAAATTCTGCCTTATATTTTAATAAACTTGAAGCAGATTCCCTAAATTTAAGCAACAATCCTGCTCTGTTGTAGGTTATTTTCTGGTGAGGAAAATCAGCACTACTTCAGCACATTGTACATGTTGTTGCAGAAGTCAAATCAATCAGACAGTCAAGGTGAATCTGCCTAGACCTCCATCTAAAAGTGAACTCCCCAAAGCGGTCTTAACACACTGCCGGGCTAGTTTTACCAGCAAACGAACTAGAGCTCCTCTTTAATTAGAGGACACTTGTTTGCCTGGGGACACAGTGTCCTGCTGTGAGTCCCTCATCTCTTGCTTCACCCTGAAGCCTTTGACAGCACCTCACTGTGCTTAGTTGCTCCCTACAGAAACAGCCATTTCCTCTTCTTTCAGTCATTTCCTTTTAGAAGGAACAAAACATACAAACCAAGTGAGAACCATCCTTCATACAACGCGATTAATGCTTGTACAGGCTTCTTAGGTGATAAGTACTATTTTATTAAACTCTCACTCCACTAATACCAGAAGATTTTCTAAGTTAAGCATTTGTCCATGCAGGTTGAGTATTTTTCTGCATGATTCAAAAATATTCTTCTTCTTTTTTTTTTTTTTTTTTTACACTAAAATATGTTCTTAGGCTTGTTTTAATGGAAAAACTTTTTAAGACGGGGGGGGGGAAGGCTAAAGCCCTTGAAATATAGCTTTAAATAGCACTTTATATTCTACCTCTGGGTTTCAGATTCATCAGTATATAATGAGGTACTACTATGATATATATCATGAGGGTCAATAAGACAGGAAAAATAAAAGTAGTATTCAAGTAAAGAGTTCATTTAACTTTCTCTTGTCAACAATTTGTTCTAAGGTAAAGGTAAATAACTTGTAAAATCTGGCAACTAAATTATGTTTCCATTCATGTTTCTAAAATATATAAAATGTAGCTGGGTTCGAAATATACTCTGAAAATGAGTGGTATCTCATTGATGAACACCCTGTGGTACTAAAGAGAAATCTTGTTTCTGGTGAGTTGAGAGGGTATCACTGACTTCCCCTGCATCACAGAGTGACAGTGGATCTTTTCTTACGACAGCACTGACAGCTTCGTGTAATTGAGTTAATTTAAAGTGGTGTTGATTTAATTCATTGAAATGAGAGTCTCATATCTCTCTTCAGCCTCCGTGTAGAAAACAACATGCATTCCTGCTGCTGTATACAAATGCTAACAACATGTTGAAACACAAGCTCGACAAATCAGTTAAGCATTTACTTTGGCCTGCTCCACTGCAGCAAACCACTTAAACACATGCCTAAAGGTATAGACATGCTCAAGTGGTTTTCTGATTAATGATGAACTGGAGCCCAAGTGTCCAATTTCAAGACTAACATTGTGTCCTATTGCTAGATTGGAAGAATTACTCATTCCAGTAGTCTTCAGGGAGATGAACATCACATTTCACTTCCCTTTCTCCATGAATGCTACTGGTACACATTGGATGAGCTGAGCCTGGGGGCTGGAGGAGCTCAATTAGACTTGCCACCGAGTGATGTTCCAAGTTCCTCAAGAGGCAATCAGAATGACCTCCCCAAATGAAGGTTTATAAACTGTTACTTCATTATTTGGATGAATGAATCCTAAAAATCAGTTTTCAGGAAAGGTAGGAAATTGCTGAAGTGCTCTAACATCCTGTCAAAATGTCACTTATGTGCAGAAATGGTGTGTGTTCATCTTTAAAAGAGAGAAATGCAGAAAAACACATGACAATCAGCCCAGAGCTGGAAAAAAACAAGGGAAGAAAACAAAATGTTAGAATTGTCCTCAATGCGAATCTTCATTTTAGTCTCCAGATTCTGAAAACAAGGTCAAGGTCTGAGTTTAAAGAAAAATGCAGCCCCCCCATTGCCAAGGCACCAGAGACAATGTCAGACTTAATTGTCAGATTACTGTCTAATCAATGATTTCTCTGATTAGTGACCCACTGACAGCACAACCAAATCAATGTGTTTATTCCAAGTGTTAGCCCTGATGCTCTAGAAGAGTGAAAATCAGGAAAAAAATTGCATCAAGTAACTCAAATCTCCTGCATACCAGTTAAAAGTGCCATTTCATTTGCTTATTTACAGGGTTTGAAAGGTTTATTTGACAACAGAAGGGCTAATAAAAGGAGTCCAAGTCATGCTTAATTACACCCATTTTATTATCTTAATTAATCTGTTCACTGCTGTGCACTCTAATATCATAATGTTACATTTTTGAGTAGTGGAGTACAAAAGATTTCTTTTTTTTTTTTTTTCTCTTTATATAATTTTTGGTCCATATCTGCCATGGCTGCCAGCTCTTCTTGTTGAGTTCACACTCACAGACATGAGGGCAGCACATTAAATCTTCAAAGAATCACTGTTTAGGTGGACAACAAAAATGCCCTGAAAGCTGAATGGAATAACAAAAAGACAACAGAGCCTGTACTCTAATTTTAGATGAAAAGGGAAAATTAGAAAAGTCAATAAAGGATTTAAAGCCCAAGGTGTCTGGACAGGAACTTGGAAAATATTGTTTAACTGTGGAATTGATGATAAAAGTCCATATACAAGTGCTTGATTACAACCAGCGATTGTATTAAAATATGCAAGTTATGACTTAATCTATGCCAAGAGTAGATAGCAACACAGTATTCTCCTGATAGTTGAGATGAATGTGCAAGGGGGAACTGGATAATACTGATTCCAATTTTAATTTACAATTCAAGTACAAACTGTTTTAATTATGTCTAATTGAAATGATTTATTGCCTTAAGTGGTAAGGAAAAAGGCCTGCACACAAATTAAACTTCTTAATCTTTGCACTGCATGTTATTCCTGTTCTTCATTCTTTTATTGTGTTGAATGCAGAAATGAGAGATGTGTCTGTGTCACGTCTTGCACATTTAACTTCTTGGGCTGAGCTGAATCATAATATGAAGAGAGAGGAAATACTTCCTGTAGCAGAGAACTGATGATGTGCAAAGGTGAACCATTTGAAGGTGAACTGACAAACTCTTTAAAAATAAGCACAGCTTAAGTTCCCAAACCTGGAGTAAGTGCTTAATCTTAAAATATGCACAGTTTAAAAGATATTCGGTAAATAAACTTCCCTTATTTAGGTGACAAAACTTTATTTTGGAGCTGATTGTTTTTGAAGGTGTAGGGAATGCTGTTGCCATCACCTGAGGGCTCTTCCTGTGTTTTACAGCCAACCCTGACCATGGACACCCTGGAAAAAGGGACCTATGTATCCATCATTGCAGAAGTGAACTGGCTACACATCTGTCCTAATTCCAAGTGTCTTCTCACTTATCCAGCCAAATGAAACTGAATTTTTATTGCAGCTTCAGTAGACAGTGGGATAATCTGAGTAAAGCAGAGTCTAGCCCAATGGCTAGGGCTGACTGGGATGATGGCTAGCAGTATGAAGACAAGCAAAGAGAATCAGTATTTCCCCTTCCTTCAGAGGAGTATGAGTGCAGGATTATGGGGCTTTTGGGGAACACAGAAATTCTTTCATAAAACAGTCAGTGTTCGGAATCACAGAAGGGACCTCTGGAGGTCATCCAAACTAACCTGCAGCTCAAAGCTAGGCCTAATTAAATTACTGTTGTGATTGAAAGCAATCACTTTTCTGAACAACTGTATTAGCCCCTGTTTGTCCATCTGAGCAATGTCAAGCCTCTGTCTCAGTAGTGTGGTGGTGTAGCTCTGAAAGGGCATTCCCAGATCTCCAAGAACAAGTGGGCCTCCCCCCTGCCCTCCCCAGAATATCATCCACCCACCTGGCCTGGGGGAAGTTGACAGCCAGGGCCCCAGGCCTTGGGGAAGTAATTTTATTGTAGTCTTCAATGGGCATATGCTCTACAAAACCCTTTAAAAAGTCAAATGCTAGTGTTGTCTAAACATATTAAGCATTGAACCTTGTTCTATATGCTTCTTACTGTGCATCTCCTTATAAAATAAAAACTATAGATTATTTCTGTAGAAAATATCCATTGGCTTCAGTGTTGGTAGATTTGCTTGTTGAAATGTGTTTCAGGAGAGCTACTAACATATACTGAAAACCATAGAAATAGATAGTTTTTCTGTGCATTTTTAATCTTCTATAATAGGGGTAATTCCTTATTTGAGTGTTTTAACAAAAGCTAGAGGAATTATAATCTAATACAATCTGCAAGACTTTTCATAAAGCAATGGAAGTAAAATAGCAGTTGCCTTAGGTACTTATGCTATATGGAACTGACCTGAGGGAAAGCAGCCTGCCAGAAATCTCTCATGAGGACTATCCATATAAATTCCCATGTTTGAGTTGATGCTTGCAGACAAGCCAAGGTTGATGTCAGAGTTCTGAAGGCCAAATTAAGACTAAGTTTTTCTAGGTTTCTTTGAAGAACAAAGCATTTCAGACTATCTTTCAGCTCTTGTAACTTAAGTCTCCTTGACAGCCTATTATTTGTTCAGTCATTACATTCCCTTGATTCTTTCTGACAAAGTTATCAAGCACCCCACTAGGACCACAGGCAAAGAAGCATTCACATTTATACAAAGGGCCAAATCCTGATAAAGAACACACAGCTGGACCAAATGGACTGTTTGGTCAGGAAACAGAGCTAAATGGAGATTTCTGCTGCACCTTGTCACAGCTGGTGTGAATCCATGCCACAGGAACTACAGAACAGAGACAGAAATAAAATCTACCACTCAGCAGTGCAGCTTTCTCCCCACATTAACACTCATATGCAAACAGCGACAGTAGAGCTTAGATCCATTATACTAAGGTATGCTTTTTTTCTCCTTTTATTGGTCTCTATTGCCTATTTCTGTATTTGTAAGGAAGGCGGTATTTACTTGTATCTTGTTCACTAATGCAATGGGAGCAGTAGTTAATCCTTATTCAAAAGGAGATGCAGTACAGTCTGTTATAGTACCACAATTTTTTAATATCTTTACTACTCATTACTTTTGATATACTTCTTGCTTTCTATTTTATTGCAATTACTTGCTCAGGTTTTCACAGGTGTTATTTTAATGATCTGGGGTCCCATCTTTTGTGTGTCTGAAGTCGTAAGTTTCCAACTGCCCTTCATTCTGCAGTATATTCAGACCTGTTAAAGTGCATCAAAACAGATATCAACAGTCTATACCCTCTTATTAATTTCTGAAGATTTCAAAGTAGCTCCTGGAGATAATGTGGTGAACTTTGACATCCATCCCATAGCTAAATTTCATAACTATATGTGTCTTGCCATTTCCCTGGTATCTACCATGGGTGCACTGATACACTAAGTACTACATAAACAGAACTCTTGCTGTAATTCCATCTAAGTTTAAACAGAAAAGTTGTCCTAAAAAAAAGCCAAGCTCTTCTGTTTACCTCTGTGTTTTGTCTTCTGTAGAACACCTACGTTCCTTAATCAGTTGCAGTCCAGTCATTACATACCTGGTCTATAACTGGTATATTAATCTATATGCATATGTATAAACACATATCACAAACCAAGGAACAGCTGAAGATGGCAAGCCCCTTAAATTGCAACTACTGAGTGTGAAGGAGGAGAGAAAAGAAAGAAAATGAAAGTGTGTAGGAATGTATTATGTTTTACAGGTACATGTGGATCCTTGTTTTATGAGTTAGTGTAATAACATGGAAATATTCCCTATGATTCACACAAAAGTGGTAGTTTTGGTCAGTATGATGTTGTGGCTTTCCACTATGAAGACATACCTCCATAAAGGTCACTTTCCTTTTCACAGGGTAAAATTCCTCTGATGTACATTTTAAGAAATGTGATTTACCTTGTAAAAGGCAACCATCTGTCAGCTGTAGGTTTAGGTACCTGCTTATCACAACTGCTAGTGATTTTCTCCAAGTACAGGAGTGCAGACAGATAAGGAGGAGTGTCAGTGTACTGCAAATATACCATCATCTTCTCCTGTGACAAGCAAACTAGAAACACGTGCTCTTTTAACCTGAAGCAAGCATTACATTGACCATTGCAAAGATAGGTTTTTAAACTGAAGGAATACTTTTGATTTCTTTGTGAACAAAACTTTTTCATGAATTTTCATTTCCAGTAACTACTTCATTCTTTATGATCTAGAAGTCATTTTGGAACAATGTAACAGGTGATGTTAATAAATATTTGAAGCATCTTACATCTCTATCAAATTCATCTAAATCAAGAGATGTATTTTTCTCTTTTTGTCTTTCCTGACACTACATCCCTAAGGTATTTTGCTAAATAAGGTTGCAGAAATAAAACAGTAGGAGATGAATTGAAATGCAGAATAAATAGAGGATGAAATGTGCATTTTTCTTTCTGTGTACTAGAACAGGCTGCCTGGGGAAGTGGTGCAGTCCCCATCCCTGGAGGTATGTAAAAGACATGTAGATGTGGCACAAGTACGTGGTTCTGTTTAAGGTTAGACTTGATGGCCTTAAAGGTCTTTTCCAATGTAAATGATTCTATGTTCCAAGGTGCTGTCAAGTATTGCAACTGTATCAATGAAATTCCCTTGTCCATGCCTGGATTTAAGACAGCAGAGGTGCAGCTCATCTTGAGAGCACAACTGTTCACTGGTATTTTGACAGCTTCTGCTTCTTTGCACATCAGCTAGGATTGTCCACTCAGTATGAAATAATGGAAGTGAGCTGTGGATGTCATAGCTAAAGCAAAATCAGTGCACAGGACTTTCTACAGCTGGGAAGGTCACCCCTCTTCACCTATACTGCTTTAAAACTGTGTGCGTTGCATACTACAGGCTAAAATACATAGGTTTTTCTTTTTATTTTATTTTCTTTATTTTCTTTTGTAGGCAACAGCAACCCTTTCTTCCACCTACAATTTGATCTTTATATCTGATGCAAAAATGTTTCCTTGCATACAGCAAGCACTGGCTCCTTTGCTCAACCCCTGTGGGATTTCTGTGCAGAGGGGAAGAGACGCACACAGGATACTGCTGTGCTCCTGCTGCTGCTGGCAAATCTCACCTTGAATCAAGCTAAGCCATTTCTCCAGGCCTTTGCCTTTTCACGGGTGAGACTTTTAGCCAAGAGTTCAGTATCAAAATAAGAACAAGAAATCACCAAAGCAGGAATGCTGTTTATGATTCCCACTTCCAAGTTCTCCTTTCTGGTACTCTGTCATCTTTATGTGCTAAGCAACAAAATGCTCCACTCTTCTCTGTACAAAATCACCTATTTCATGTTTTCTAGGTCAATTCAGATATATTTATTGATTATATCTCTGTGTATTTAACAATGACACTATATGCAGAAATCGAAGTGGAATGTGTGCAAATAAAAGTAACCTTTTTAAGTAAAGTAATTTCAAAGAAAAAGGTACATGCTGTTCCATTTGTGGGAGATTTATTTTTAATGCAGTTCATTGGTATTTATTTGAATTTGACTTATGTGGCAAAAATCTAGACAAAATGTGAAATATGATAACTATTATAATTCTCAGTAATATTTCATATCTTAATGTGTAGCTGCAGTCACAAATAAAACCCCCAAATTACAATTATCTCACTCAGCTATCACAGCTTGTATTATTTTTATGAAAACTAGATTCTCGTTACATTTGCTGGGTTTAATCAGCAATATGATATTTCTCTCTGTGCCAGGCAGTTTGTTAAAAATGAGGCATTTCCTGAAGAAACTTCTGCCGTATTTTAGAATCAACCCCCCTCACCTTAATTTCATAGAGAGTGTTCACTCAAACTTATTTCTAGAAATAGTGTGGCAAAAGTCTTTATTTTATTATGTCAGTATTCAAAAGTGACTTTTCCACACCAGCTCCATACCTCAATGTGTAACTTCACATTTGAACTGAAAGGTATAAAATTCTGTGTAATAAAAGCAATCCTACAGGAAGGATACACATAAGGGCAAAGATTTGCTTAAAGACTAAACTGAAATTCTTTCTGTTTAGTAATGCAGAGCTAATGTTGTACCATTAAAATCACATGCAAAACTATCTTATTTTGTGATCGTTAGGCACATGTCAAACTCCTACCTAGGGAATATGTGTTGCAAATGTACTGCAGGGAAGCAGAAGACAATATTAAAAGCTGCAAAATGAAATCTAGTTTTAGAAAATATGCTAAAATAGTTGACTGTATGTTTCTCTCACAGGTCATAGCATAGATGTTCCCATCTTCAAGAGAAGGTTCCTCCATCAGAACTGGGAACCAGACAAATGTTTTCGAAGTAGCAAGAGGTGTTACCCTGAGGCCCTAGGGCTGTACCAGGGCTACTAAGCAAGTGCAATCCTTCATCTGTGCTTTCCTAGGTGGAGATGTTTTTACTCTGATGTGCTCTGGCTTGTAACTAACCACTAGGAAATGTACCTTTCCTCCCTATGCCCATGGATGCAATAGGAAGTGATATGTTACAGTGTCTGTTTATGAAGCTGGACTCATTAATTCCTCTAACTGCTCTGCCTCCACAGCAGTTCTGTATGGCAAAGAAATCCAGAAGTTTGCTATCTACTCTACCTTCCCTTATGTGTTTTAAGATGGTTTCTGCTGATTTGTCTAATTGCCCTATCATTCTCAGTTCTGAAAGCACATTATCCATGCCTTTGTGATTTTCTAGATCTCTGATATATAATACCCTAACTGTTTTAACTGTGCAGTTCAAAGTAGAAACAAAACAAACTATTTTTTATTAAGTTTTTGAATGATTTAATGAAGGGTAAAAACTTTGGTTTGTTGGTTTGTGTTTTCTTTGTTGTTGTTGTTGTTGTTGTTTTTTCCCCAACAATTATTTTATTTTTCCTACACTAATTTTGAAACCAGAAGAAATTTAAGCCCACTAAAAGTATTTACATTGCAAAGGAGAGGACATTCCACAAAAAACACTTGTGAACAATGACAGTGGTTGGAGGGTATGTGTGTAAGTGGCACATGATATTTATGGTATATTGAAGCAAATATTTGTTTGCAGAAACAATAAATAAAATAAATCCTGCATAGTTTGGATAACAGCTGAGGACCCAAGATTGTGAGGGCCATAGCTTGTAAGCAGCTCTGACACCATTACCACCTTCACAAATAGGACATAAATCACGATGTATTCAGATGACATATTTTCTGCAAAGCAGTAATTTAAATAACCACTCCAGTAATTTAAGATTATCATATTACTGTATGGAATGCAAACAGGTAAAATAATCACTCTCTGAACATTAAACAAATGGAAGACTATGCTAGTTAGTTTTCTCTCTTTACTAGATATTGTTTGTCCTATTAAGTTTGTTTCTGGCAGACATAAAGTAGCTCAACTACTGCATTTCCAAGAGATCTCCACATACAGCAAGTACTTTTGAAAATCTGGGCCTAGATTTCTCTTTATGCATATAGAAATTTAGTGACCACCTCAGGAAATAAATCTTTCAACAGTACTGAAGAGAGTAATACAGATTGTATCTAAAAGTGGGAGAGTAGTGAGCGTGTTCCAGTTTCCTAAAGGAGAGTATCAGTATTTGCCAACTATTTTGTGTCAGATGTTAGCTATCTCCTAAGGACAGCATAAAAAATTTTGGTAATAGATGATGATCACTTTAGTGACTTCTGGGAAATGAAAGCCATTTAATTGCAATTGCTATGGCTGCTCCAATGTACTTTAATCTCTACTGACCTGAAATAGAGGTGGTACTTCAGAGCAAACAAAAGAGGCTTATGGAGGACCAAAGATTAAATTTCTTGCTGTTTTGCATGTTTTATCTGCATTTACCATTGTGAAAAGAGGAATAAATCAGCTGCTTTCATCTCTGATTGTTTTATAGACCCACTTTACAAAAAAGATGAAAGATGACACAGGTAGAAAGGCAATGGGGAATATGCCCACAGGGATTTATGTTTGTGCTGTTATGCATTTGGATTTCTGAGCACTCATGATTTTCTCTTTGGACAGAATAATGCTTAGGGAAAACACTTTATGCACAGTGTAAGGGAAAACAATACATTATTTAACATTTCTGTGTTGGCATGTGCTGACTCTTGTTTGTAAAAACATGACATATACTGGGAAGCTAAATAATTTAGGGTGGCTATCCCGTTCCCATGTACACATATAATACATGAAATAGGAAATCTGCATTTGCTGCCATTGTCAGTAAAAAACAGTAAATGAGATTTTCAGTGATTTAGTGTAGAGACAATGTGGCAGAAAACTAAACAGTTATAAACACTGAGGTAACAAAGTTTTGCAATGTATATTGTATGTTGGTCACTAAGTTAATAGATGAGCAATATTGCTGACAACACTGGATCCTTATCCTGATTTTTTTCAGAAGTGCTATGTGTGAATGTATATCTTAAGTATTTATGGGAGAGAAAAAATATCTATATTATCTATACCATTCTGGGTTTCTATAACAAATGACAGTGTTCAGACTCCCAATACTGCTTATGTGTTAGCTGCTAGAACTGGTATTACCATTTCAGCTGCTGCAAATTTAAGTTATTAAATGTCATTCTTGCATTGGTACACAAAACATGACAGAAGTGTAAGTGTCAAACAGTATTTGTGTAGTCTATTGGTAATCTGTTTTGAGGTATAGCAGTGTGTTTTGCTTGTAGCTGTGAGTCACACTGTAAGCCAGATTGTAAGACATCAGCATTTAAATGCATTCTACGTTTCAGGGGGTTGTTGTGGTTCATAATATTTATGATTCAATACACTCAGTGCCTTTGTACTCCAAGAGGACTGCTGGCTGCTATGAGATGAGACCAATTTTCAAAATCCTGCTGACAGATTCATAAACTCTTATTGACCACGCAGTGCTGCTCCCCACTCCTGGGCTGAACACGTGTTGCCACCATACCTTGATGGATGGAGAAAAGACTGGTTTTGGTCAACACCAACATGGATGTTACACCAGGACCTAACCAGCAGACAGCTTGACCTGATGATCCTAAAGCGTGTGGCTCACTGCCCTTTATGCCTTTAGGATTTTATATTTTTCCATGTCTTCTTCCTCTTGAATCCTTGAGCCCATGACCCAATCTCAAAAACCTATGTCTCCCTATAGTTTTACCTTTCCTATTTCTCAGTTAGCTTTGCTGAAGCTCTTTCATCCTAAGCATCTTTTCCAAGCTCCCAGCTGTATGAGAGGGCATGGTGGGGCTGGGCAAGCAGAGTTTTGTGCCCTGAGGGGCAGGGGAGTTGTTTCAGAAGGAAAGGAAGAGCTGTTGCAGTTAAGGTGACTTTTGTATGGTGTTCAGACACCGTAAAGAGTTCCTCCACAAGGTCAGCTGTACGGGTTAGTGGCATTGCAGGCAGGGATTGAAAGGTGGTGCCTTTTCTCGTGCTCAGCTAAGTGTTTAACACAACAGTTCCTACACTTAAAGTTTCCAAGCTAATGGCAGAATTGACTGACCCTCATATTTTCACACTGGACTAAGAGAAAGGAACATTTTTAACCAGTAAAGATGTTTTCGTTGTTAGACGAACAGATGACATTTCCAGTGCTTTTAATGGAGGAATAGTAGCAGAACTAGCAAAATCCTTTAAACCACTGGAGTTGTGTGTGATGATATTGCATCATACATTTTTTGGAAGCTGTATTTTGGTGTGGAGAATGCAAAGGTTTTAAAATTAACGTATATAGCTAAATCTGTTAAAGAATTAAAACCTAATATATGTTTATAATTAAAGATAAGCATATTTACTTAATCTAATAAAGGAAACAATGTGAATCAGCCTGCCAACAATCCCTGGTTGTCTGGGCTTTTTTTGTCTTCAAGGTACTAAAAGGTACTAAACTTACAAATAAACACAATGTAGACCTGTGAGCTGAACCTTTGGTACAGCTTTCCTCCCCACAGCCAGTATGTCCATTCTGTGCTGCAGTGGGGGTTTCTAAGCAGGATGGGAAATGAACTTTAGATGAAGATTCAAATGTGAATTACACTGTTATTCTCAGCACATTGAGGAAACATTCAAACTGTAGTTTGCTTAAATTAACTATATGATTGCACTGTCTGAACTGCATTCGCCTCTTTATTATGCTCAGTGGCTAGAGCATCAATGGGGTAATGTCTCTTTAATCATTTGCTTCAAGATAATAAATATTTCACTTTTCAGTGTAACATGGAAATAAAATAAAACCTGAAATAGGTAATTTTGAGGTCACATTTGTCAAACTGAAAAACGACCAATGTATTTGTTGGGTAGCAGGAATGATGGAAAGAGGGTACAGGTCTCTTCCCAAGCAGAAAAGATAATGAATAGTGAAACACAGTGATGATTGCCACTCAAATAGTTTTCAATAATGAGATTCAGCCTGTGTGTTCCTAGCAACAGATGCTCTCAAAGCCCCTGTCATGGAATGACCTTTAAGCACAGTATTTGTTTCAAGAAACCACAATATTAACTGTCTTTTCACAGATTCAGATATCCCACATAATGCTCAGGTTCTGCAGAACACTCTGAGATCCCAGGTTTTATTTCTTCAGATCTTCTCCCTCCCTCCCTCCTCCACTCCGCCCTACACTCCCCTGAGGCCCCCCTCAAAGGATTGT